TTACCACCTGAGTTACACTGTGTCAGTGTCAGTCACTGACAGTAATTGCTCAACTTACAAGTACAACTATATCAAAAAATGTTGAAAATGCTATATAATATGCATTATCCTAATATATTAATTTTTATAGATAACTGAAAACTTGACACTAGCTTTAGTGGTTTAGGCAATGCCACGCATATTAAAGACATTGTTAAAAAGCAAAAACAAAAATTATTGAAGACGTTAKTTAATCATTTTTTAWGCAACCAAGACGCATACAACTTTTATTTGATAATTAATATAAATATAATTAATTTGTAACATCTACATTACAAGCATTCAAAAAATATTAATATTGTATTGTAAACCTACACATTTAAGGGACTTATATGTGATGACATAATGTTGTTTTTTTCTATTTAGGTTACCTATGCTATTTTAGAATGAAGACACTAGAAATATATTAAAATTTAAAATAATCTTTTTGATTTGGTTAGGTTAGAACTTTGATCTTGCCCCGGGTGGGATTTATCTTGCGGGCGTGCTTGCTGGTTATACAATTATTTTGTATCATTGATTAAAATGTCATTAAAAATGTAATAAAATATGCAGTAATCATCAATGGCCATACAACCAAGGGTTCTGTTTTCTTAAATAATTATAATACATTTAAAAAAAAAAACATAATGATATATAATATTGTCATTAATGCATTATTCAAAAAGACCATGTCACCAGGAGAGTCATTTTGTTGTGTTTCGAGTAAACTTTGTCAATGAGCATAGTACCATGTTTATTATCATATTACATGCAATATTTGATACTTTTCGTATAATACATAGAATATACGACAAATTATTTTGAATTATAATTTTTCATCGGAATTTGGATTCATTCCAAGACATGAAAATATGATTTATTGTTTGTGATAATAAGTTTATACATTTAAGTTTTAAGTAAGTTATACAAAATTATATTAATACGAAAATTAGAAAGAAATTGCGAAGTGCTAACCTACTTAATTTGTTTCAAACTACAAAATTAATTAATCGTATATATGCACGCATTACTGATATCAAAATAGGACATTTAAAATATTAAAATACTAATTTACATGTGTCCACCTACCTAACTAACCATGATATGTATCTACTGCGGGTACTGTTTCCCTCCGAATTTGACATCAATGTAAGCACAAACATTTTTGATAAAGGGACAAATGGTAGTAGATGGCATAATCATAAATCATAATTGCATGTATCTACTTAAATTTAAATATAAATTAATATATGGACTATATACTATAATATACCGTTTAATATGATAGATATTATGAATACTGGACATTATAAGATTATGCGATAGATAGGTCGTAATAGGTACTTAATTATAATTATTAATACTATTAATTGAATAGTTGATAGAGAACTCAATTTTAGCACTCGTATTATATTAAATAAACTAGTTTTATTATTGTGTACATAATATATCTCATATTTTCTAACCAAACAGAGTGTGCGTGTGTGTGTATAACTGATAAACACATACATATAATATTAATATACTGTTATAGTACGTGTACATAATGTAATATGTATAAATATATATATATATATATATATAGGTGTACATCACATTATTGTGTCCTCACTTTAGGGTTTACAGTTACACATTATATTTCATTATTTCACCCGATATCCACACTATATAGCTATCATTATCCGTCCTTTGTGCGTCACCCAATACTATCCGGGCGACGACGTCATGAAGCACGGTATAAATGTCTGTGGAAAAACAAGAACAGCTTTTAATCAATCCATTTTTGTCTCTCCTTCATAACTGCTTACACGCGTGATGGCGGGATGCGTATTATCATTTTATAGGTACAATAATAATATATATTGTATAATGAATAAATATAATATTTATACACTATACGGGTACGATGAGGTACACCACTCAAAATGTTATTTCAAGAATTCCAGGTGAAATTATTTTTGTGAGCCCACGTGTGAACTACTGAACTACCATAACAATCCGTATGTATATATAGTAGTGTCGTAGGCTCGTGTATACATCAACCCGAAGTTGACTTTGACTTTTTAATATCTCGAAATAGGTGTAAACAATAATATAGATAGGTTCATAAAATATTTGATACGCATTTAATTATAGGAATATAAAACATAAACTACGCGTGTGTGCTGCAGGTTAAGCGATGAATGTTAGACTACTGTATAGTATCTACCTATATAGTTTAACCATTGATTGGTATAAGTAGGTATAGTGTAAGTATAGGTACCTTTAAAATACATAAGTTAGATGGTATGTAAGACATAAATTATAACTTAAGGGTGGCAAAGCTGTTAACATATTTTTTTTTTACTTGTCTATAATATGCAGCTCAACTCTCAAGTGCCTTATTTAATGGAAGCACTCTTCGCCTACCAACATTCAACTATCAATGCCTATTGTACAGCACTTTCAAATTACATTTGATCATTCAATAAACAAATTAAAAAATGTACAGGTTTATATTATATCTATATGTTTTGAATGCCCTAATCCTTACGAAAACATTTTTTGAAATTGTTCGCATTATTGTTAATGTGATTGATTATATGGCCTATATGAGTATTGAGTAGGTATGATGATTACTATTTATTAAATTGTTATCATAAATTCATGTTTTTGATACCAATAATTGTGTCAACAACGAATTAGAAAACCAAGTAAACAAGGTGGTTATTTGCTCGATGTATACATGTATAACCGAGTGGCTGATTTTGAGAGAGCGTCTAATTTTTGGTATTTTCATTGATTTGATCCATTACATTAATTTATTTCGTACAAACAATATAAGATGTTATGTTTAGTAATTTTTTACCATAATTTATACTATTATCTATTGAAGTATAAAGGCTGTAGCCATATTAAACATAGAGAGTGAAATAACCTTGACCATTAATTGTAATAATGAATATAATTCAAGAATTTTCTGGGTCACAATATCCTAAAAGAAAATTGAAATTTTTAAATTGTCATTTTTATAGCGTATAGATTTGTTTCAATTTGAAAATCATTCATAAATTAGTAAATTTTGTTTCTGTAAAATTGAGTATTCGAATAGATTTTGTTTTTGTTGCCCCTGGGCCACTGAACGACATTAATATGGCCTTGCGGCGTATACGCATCATGTACACGTAACCCACGGAGAAAATGCCGGGCTATTTATTTTAGTTTTAACTATTAATTTATATAATTATTATACTAATTGTCATCATATCAAGAACAATTTAAATTTATTGTAAGTGTGGTGTTTTATTTGACCTTGCCTCTGCAGCTTTATTTCACTGAGATGCAAGGCGCACCATCTTGGTTTACACGACGCTTTCTAATATTGATGCAAATCAATTGATTGATAAATAAGCACTTATCACATACATAAAAAAAAATTCAAGTTAGTGACCAATATTTATAGCTAACGCCTAGTAAGTCTGAGYACTTCATGTACTTTGAGAGAATTAGCGTTCAAAATTTATTCATTCACACATATTTTTTTTTAGACAGTTCATCACTATTGTATACTGTTATTTATAGGTATCTACCACACCTTGACACCTTATAATTGGTTTATGGGTATCTACCATACCTTATAATTGATGTTTAATCACCTATTCCTCATTCAACCAATGAACGTTAGTTCACCAATTCTGATCGCAAATTTCTTCTTCGTCAGCGTAATGTGCACAGAACAATCTATGATGTTTGGACTTTGGAATCTGGAACAAAACAGTTTTATTATTTAAGATTTTGAATTATAATTATTAAAGCTTCAATAAAATTCTACAATGTTCTAGAATACGTTCACAATTATTATTGATTTCATTATATTTGATTGATTTTATTTGTTTAGTTCTGTTATTTGTAAGAGGTCTACACTACACAAATTTCATCGTACCAATGTACTTACATCATTTTTTAATTTTTTAAATTTTGAACCCCACTCATCATAACTGCACCCACTAGAGCCTTACAGATACCGGCATATTAATTATTACGAAAAATCTTAAATCTATAGCTAACGTCCAGTAAAAGAAATGCTGTAACGCTTGTAAATTGTAAGTTGTAACTTAATAATTGTCCTAGCGATCTTATAAATAGCTTACTCTTAAGCCTAAAAAATCATTTCCTAAAACTAATCATAATATATTTTAAYAAAATAAAAAATTAGTTTATTGTAGGTGCTACTCAGGGACGCCCGAAGGGAGGGGCCAGTGGGGGCCATTGCCCCCCTGAGATTTTTCGTGTCACTTACGAAATTGGAAGTTTTTTTACATAAAGTTGATCTTGAGCGACTATTCGACAATCCTTGTATCTAACAAGTCATATAGGAGGTATTTAATCGCAATAAAAGACATTACGATTATTTTCAATACTTTTGGCTGGTTAGGCGTRATTGCCGAAATCTTGTATGAAAAACATAATATTATAATMATCAAATMAAAATACTTGGAAAGCAATAAAGCAAACGGGATTATAAATTATATCGTATAATGTACGACGTTAAAATAATAAAGTGGTTTTTTGTTTAAAATGTATTAAGTATGTTCTTTCTTATAAATATTAGAACTAATAGTGTAATTTTATGTAAAGTTAAATTTGTTTTTATTTAAAAAAAATTTTGTTTGCCCCCCCTGAGCTGCATCTCTGCGGGCGTGCCTGGTGCTACTTATTCTAACTACGTAGTTTCCTTGCATGCAATTAAAAATTACGCGATTTTATATTTATATAGATACAATATTATATATTACGGTTGTTACTTGTTTTAATAAACAATATAAACTAATAAACGTATAAATAAAAAGTACAAAATAGCACTTAAATATATATTTATATCTATATTGTACAAATATATTATATTATCTATAGTTTTATCTTTTATGTATTCTAAATTTAGTAGGCATGTCATATAATATTATAGATAATATATTGTAAATAATATTTTATAGGAGTATGTGAAAACCACAATGAACGAGATGCTCGGATGGTACGGATATGAAAAAATAAATTCCAAAGACTGTTCGCTGCAAAGTATGAATTTAGTTAAGCTCAGAGAAAAATATAGAGGTCGCTCAAAAAGCACGGAACCAGAAACTTCGTCAGATGAATATAATAGTCCACAATCACCAACTACGTCGAGTAATTTGATTTATATTATATAATTAATAATGAATTGTATATTTGTATATGTACATACAAGTAGTAAGAGTAAGACCATATATATTAAATATACTTAAACTTAAGTAAACTTAAGTAAAACTAATAAAAACTTACCTACCTAATAATTATTTCTAAAACTGAAGGTGTACATAAATACGTTTTAACATCGATGTTAAAAATACTTTAGGTGCGTAAATTGACATGTCACAGGTTGACTGGTGGTGGGTAGAGCCGTAAAGGTATATTTTCAATTTTGTTTTATGTTTGTAGACACAAAAAGGAAAGAAACAATCAAGCTAGATAATTCAATGAAAATTATTTTTAAAATTTAGTATAATATATTTAAATTTTCATTAAGCTAAAAATTAAATTAAAAAGGGTGAAGAGAAACTCTATATTATGTTACTGAATACTTACTATCTGTCACGCGACACCATTCGGTAGGTAGTTCGTAGGTAGGTATATTCTGAATTTTTAATTACAAAATTAAATTTACACGAAAATCGTGAAGTTTATTATGAAGTAAAATAAATAAATTTAAAGGAATTAATGTTAGCTATTTATTAATAGTACTTATCTATATTTAAACGTCGATATTATGTAATAGTACAGCACAACAGCTTTATTAATACTGCATATCAGAGCATATCATCAGATRTCGGTGACTTATAATATTTAAAGTTCGATACCAATAAAGCCGTGCGATGATCAAAGCGAAACGTAACTCGGTTCGAATGCTCAGATATTTCGACATCTCTTTATATGTGATATATATATATATACACACAAATATATACAATATAATAATATATCGTCACAATATCATTTAAGATCCGCCATGATTCATGGCCAATTTCAGTTTTCCCAACATTTCTGCAGGAATTAAGAGGAACGAACAAAAAACTACTCTGTCCTAGGAATTTTGAAAGTTAGTTGGCATCTATAATGAACAATATTATACTAAGACTTAATAAACGTGTGGGTAAACTTTGCAGTTTTTTTGAAAAGTTATATTTACCAAAAACTATGGCCTCGGATCTCAATAGCTTAATATTCATTCTTTGGATTAGCCGTAATGTCTGACATTTTTTTCGGATGCCACGATATTCTTATTAAATCTACATTTTTACCAAAGATTCGTAAGATTGGCCTCATTGGCTTTGGTAGTACAATATTTGCTCATTATAAATAAGCCATGATAAAACTTTAATTTTTCACAGATAACACGCCGTGCTTATACCTATACCACAATTTCACAAAACCAATTTAAAGATACAAATCCTTAAATCCGTTGATTTTAACGTAATTTCGAATAATTGTTTTAGATCGGCCATGATTGATATGCTACAAACAGGTATTAATCATATAATAAATAGTGTGTGCATAGTCATAAGAACCAGATGTCGGATGATAAAATTAGTGTATACTACAATTCACTGCGTACACGGGGACCAGAGCTGGTTCGTACGATGCACGAAAATAATATATATTTTAATTTAAAATAACAATATTGTACACGCGCACATAATGTTTAACGTATAATGTTATGGATATTGGGTTTATATTTATATGCGGTGTACAACATCTGTACAAGACGCAAGACGTGTATTATATAAGTGTATACTGTATAATATAATAACCAAACACGCGCCGTCATAGTGCGCTGTGTAGTAAAATGCCGCGGTGGTTGTACCTATATTGCGTTATAGTTATTTTCGGTCTGGACAGAGAATGTCCCTAGTCGGCGCATAACCATAATACCTATACAGCCCTGCGCGAGTCTACTCCGACCGAGGACTAGATAGCGTGTATTACAATGTATAAATAATAATAATAATAATACCATATAATATAATACTCGTAATATACGCAGCCTCGCAGTGTTCGTATTATATTAAACGCCATGTGTGTGTGTGTACGTGTGCACATATTAATATTATATACATTTTGGTACGATTTATATATATTTATATATACATGCAATCGGCGGCGCGACGTATAACACAAAGACTCGTCCGTGTGTTGTAGTCGTCTCGTCATCGTAATACAATATCGTTCGGGCGTAAAAAGCGCTCTCGGATGTCTCGTATAACGAAAATAAGGGTCATCTCGTCTCATCTCTGTGTAAGCCGAGTGTGTGATGCAGCCCATCATTCCGCGCGTACCCCGGCCGTGTGTTATATGCGACGGGGTAATAATCGCCACATTCAGTTGTACCTATGCCTATAATAATACCTATACCTATAATATGTTTTGCAGGGTTAGTTTCAAATTCCCGATTGCAATGATATGTATACAGTATATTATGTGAAATATATATTTTGTGCATGTACATCATCATGTATGTTATGAACGGTGTGGGTAAACCAAATAGCAGTATAATCAGATATATTTAGGTATCGCCGCTCAGCGCTCGTGTAATACCTGAATGGCGGAATATACGGATTAGACCCCGTCGCCCGTCGGTGAACTGTTATTAAGCTTCCCATTTTTTTACTATATTATAAGATTATCTATAAGATAGTCTACGTACTAGGGGTGCGGGAGGCGTGGATTGGCCACTGATATAAAAATACAATTATAATTAAAAAATACTATTTTATAATAAATGTACTTTGCCGGTACAAGTTTTGGTATTCATGGTTTTAATATATTTTCTAGTGTATTAAGTACATTAAGATGTAGTCCCACAACCCCTTCCCTCTGTTAAACATTTTAGCTATAGGCTTGAGCCCATGCACTCAATTGAATGGCTCTAGCTTTGCTGTGAGAATCAGTGGCAGTCCTTGACAAATTCCAAGGAAGGAGAGATATTTTTCACGTCATCAAAAACAATTTTTAAAAATAATAAATATTAGTCACAAAAATAATAGTTTCTTAACTTTAAATTCGTTTTCGTTTTATTTGTGTTGTAAATCGATCATAATATTTTCATGGCTTATAGTTACATCTCTATGAACATGAAGTACTTACTTAATTATGCTAAGCCACTAAGTCTGGTGTTCCCCATTTTTTACCGTTGCCATGTTTTTACTCTATAAAAGCATATAAAAGCAAGTGTTTAGCTTAAAGTTAAAAATCTTAGAACAGAAGATAAAACTCAAGGAAACTTAAAAATTATTTTTAAGGTGTAATTTGTATACTTACATTATATTTTAAAAGATATATATTATGAGTTTATGACTAATATAAGCTTTGAAATTTTCTTGAATAAAATCATGGCTGGCAAGTTAATGATATTTTTTAATTCAGATAGATCGTAAAATAATGTAAAAAACTGATATATTATCATTTATCAGATTTTTGTTGTAATATAATATAGGCCATGAGGAGGGGAGGGGGTGATTGGTTGATCGATTCTCCCCCCCCCACCCGTGGGACCACCAATATCAAGAATATGCTTGACATTTAAATCCTTAATTTTTTCCTTATAGATTTTAAAATCTAAAATACTGTCCTGCACTCTTTTGGTATAGTTACCTACCTATAATAGTTGATTCCTTAAAAGTTGTAGATGTTAAAATAGGAATTTCATGAATTTCGTTCTGTTTATGTAAATTATGGTACCTACATTTTAGATCATACGTTATAATATTTTTCATTTATATATTCAAACCGGTGCAAATAATAAATAGAAGCTCCTAAATGGAGTGGAAAAAAAAATAATAATTGAATAATATCTAACCATTCTAATACATTGTACGTATTGAAAAAATCGGATACACTTATTCAAAATCGATGTACACTAGGAAGGTCTAGTTCCGTCATATGTTATGAATCGTGATCTGATACTATAATGATGCTACAGATTGCAATAGTTAATTGTTTACCGTTATTGGTTATTACTTTATTAGTTTATTACTTATAACATGAGTTGTATTTAAAATTGTCTCTACAAATTGAAAATKAACTAATTTCGAGTTTTAAATTTTCAATAAAATATAATACCTTAATGCATATATTAATACCCAATTGTTTGTAAATAGACTCACCAGTACAACAAATGACATGCGGATGGTGTGACAAAACGTTAATAGCCAAAGCGTTTACATTCCGCACAGCCGAATCGGACAATGAGAAAGTGTTTTGTTCCGAACAATGTTTCTCGCATTACCGTAGAGCAAATTTCAAACGAAATAAGAAATGCGATTGGTGTAGACATCTGAGACACACAGTCAACTGTGTAGATTTCCAAGACGGCGATCATCAGCTACAATTCTGCAGGTGACAAACGTAAAGAGTTTTTAATTTGATTTTATCTCAAAGACATCGATGAGTAATCATAAAATAATTGCAATTTCTGTGTTTGCTTTCACAGTGATAAATGTTTAAACCAGTATAAGATGAACATCTTCTGCAAAGAAACTCAAGCGCAGTTAGAATTGCACCCTCACCTACAGAACACGTCGCTGCCAGAAAACCTATGTAAAACCATGGAGCCGAACTTGCCACTCATTACACCCGACCTATGGCTACGCGATTGTCATTCTCCGCCACTTACAGACCGATCACCGTCTCCTCAAAAGCCTCATTCCCCTCCTACACCAGGACCCGCAGTTCCACAGCTACGTATATCCAGTAAACTTTTTGACCGTCAAAACCGAAAACGCAAGAGACCAACAGTCGATGACACTGTGCCACCTGTTTACCCTAAATTTCCACCGAATGCGCCAGTTTATTGTACACCACCGATATGTAGTACACCAGCATTCACGCAATCTCRGTCGACAAATAGCAGCATACCAACAAATGCTGATTCAACACCTTCATCACTTTACCCATTGAACTTGCCACCATCGTTACTACCACCACCTATGGTATTAGTGCCATATCCTATTATGTTACCAATACCAATACCTATTCCCATACCCATACCTTTACCATTTTTACAAAAAGAATGTGATAAAAGCAGTAATAAGGAAACAAATGAAAAAAAATGATTATTATGTACATCATAATAAACAAATTATTTTAAATAATATTATAAATACTATTATTATTATCATTATAAACACTTAACAAACAGTATTTGATTATATAAAAAAAATTAGTTTTACTATTATAATGCAACCAAAAGAATTTCATACTTTGTCATATGTATAACAGATACATTTAGAACCAGAAAAATTATTATAATCTAATAAATATAAATTAATCAATGAATAGGATAATATAAGATTATTTTATGAGCTGTTTATTTCAGAGTAAATATTTTCTTCTTGGGTTTTATCATCGTCTTCAGCACTGCTYTTATCTTTATTAGCGTCAGGTACCCATAATCCAGAATCTACACAGCGCTTCATGTAATAAGTAGCATCTTCTTGGTTCATGTTTTTAATTGTATCTTGCAATAACTGAATATCTTGCGATTCAAAACATTTTTTCAACTCCTAAAAGAAACATGGTTTATAAATTACTTATTGACTTTCAATGATTTCCAATAGACTTCTTACATCTGGAAGACTATCAAAAACTTCAACTGGATCAAGACCACCTGGTCCTAGTCTTGCTTTTCGCTCTTCTTCTTCTATTTCAGCTTGAGCAATACGTATCTTTTCCTCAGCTCTTTTCCGGATACGATCTTTAAACATGTTAAGTTCTTCTTCGAAAGAATCTTTGTACTGTTTTTCAGCTAATTGTATTCTTAAAAATTAAATTAGATTAAATTATGCATCAATATTCATTATTTAATCACACTTAAATTTGTTGAAGAGTACCTATAGAGTTTCATAATTAACTATCACAATAAGTAATGAACTCAAATATAAAATCTATAAAATTAACTTTAAATGGTCATAACATTTAATAAAACAATTTTAAAGTTTTAAAAATATACCAACTAAGCGGTTATGATAAATAATAAATAAATTATAATAACACACCTTGAAAAAAATGATGGTACACATGCTCTTGGATCAATATTTAATTGCCTTGAGAGTTCCAAAATATATTGCATACAAATTGTTTGATGGGCTACATGTTCCATTAAATCTGATTTCTGAGGAGGAAACGCTGCTATGAATACATGTTAATAATAATGATTTTCAAATAGAACTTACGCCTTCCATTTGTAAATCAATGCACCAAATAACCAAATAATTTGCAGTGTCCTCACATACAAGCTGAGGATTTTTTTGTAAATATTCTTGACTATCTTTATATTTTCTGAACATACCAAAGACTTTCAATTTACTCTTATTTTCATTAATAAATGTTTCTAATCGTTTAGCTTTCTCTTCTTCAGTCAGATTTTCTTCGGTTGGTAGAGCTTTGGGTGTGTTCAGAATCGTCTTTGTAAAACCGGGTTTACTTATAGTATCAACATTCCACGGCATTACCTATTTAAAATGATACATAATAATTAATACAAAATACATCTCATCATTTAATTAATTATACCTATTAGGTTTTTTTACGAGCTACTTGCTTGTAATCACGATAAATTAGTGTTCAGAAAAATAGCAATAATATATTAAATATAGGTAAAATTACATCCATTCCCTCATTGAAAATATAAGATGATAATTATTCATTATTTTATGAACATGTCTTTTGAATTACAAGAAATTAAAAAGTAACTTTGATCAACTTAAAAAAATACAAGATAATGATGATACTTTGTGTTATACATTGTATACAGACACAAACATTGAACAGAGGTAATTCATGTGTTAAGTGAAGAAAGATAAAAAATCAGATAAATTCACTATCATCAACATACATAAATATACAGAGATTTAACATTTTTAATGACATATTATTTACTAATTTACCAGAATAGCTTTGTAAAATATTATATTTTACAAACCAAGTAAACTGTATTTTAAAAGTGACTGGTAAGAAATTTAATACTTATAGATAAATAAGACAATTCATCCTGCATGATAGTGTTTCATTTTCAAAAAACATGTAATRGAGATGACTTAAGTTGATGAACGTTCTAAGCCAGATGCTCAGGTTAGAAAAATATAAAGGAGCAAATTGAAACACGCTGAAATCATATACCAGTCACTGAACTCCATGCATAAACATTAAACATTACATATTTTTATCATTGTTTGGTCGATTGTTGATCAATAGGACATCCAACAGGCAACAATGAATAATAATAACAAATGTCACTATATCAACTGATAACATACCCAAGATTAACAATAAAAAGGTTTAAAGCAAAATAATATAGAATATATTATCTGTGTACAATRATCTTACAAAATAGTATCAAGTAATTACAGATAGACCCCCAGTAAAGACATGTTTCAGTAAAAATAAGCAAATATGTATAAGACACTAAAAGTTAAGTATCAATACCTTTTCTTTATTTTTGAACTCTTCTTCTTGTTTTTTTAATTCTTGTTCTTCGACACTTAATGCGCTTAATGCTTCTTCAAGTTCTTTTTTATTTTTTCCTTCTTGTCCAACTGCCAAAAGCTGATTTTTAGTTTCTTCATACTTTTCTTGAAAACTAAAACAATAGTATACTTATAATAAATTACTATTCAACATTGTTAAATTAATGAAATATTTTACGTTTTCTTCTTAATTTCCAATTCTTGTTGTTCGCGTTTTATTTCCTCCATGCGTTCAATACGAGCTTGATGCCTCCAACGAAACAATGATGGTGTGTCAATGTTAGGGTGGGTTTCATCTTCATCATCAGACACCTAAATGATAAATACATTAAATATAAGAATAATCCAAAAATATAAAATATGAGATATACATACTTCAATATTCTTCCATTTGCTATAATCAACCATTATAGAATGATAACTTTTTTGTCTGGGTGTGCAAGATATGCAATTTAGAACTAATGGAAAATTTATTTGACAGCAATAATAATTGTAAAATCACTTATAACCATAGATAATAAAGATATCTTTATTATTTACGTTTACGACGCAATATTTGTAAGACACAACAATTACCTGAAGAGGTAGAATAATATTGAAAATTAAATAATATTTTATCACGAACGACACGAACCAATAATTTTAACTATAAATAATAAAGTCTAATTGACTATGAAGTAAAGCGATGTATTAAATGTATATTACTATGGAGCTATTAAAGAAATTGTAGAACATAGAGTATAGACTCCAGAAGGAAAACGCACAATCGCACAACTGTGCGAGCACTTAGCACAATAATACAATATTCTGATTAGCGATTTCTGGAACATTCTAAATTCGTTATCTGTACCAACATCATGGATGAAAAAGTGTAGATTCCCAAAACAACTACTACGGTAAACCTATTAACGGAAACATGTTTAATACCATGAAGCATATCAGATTATCAATCAGGTCCCGATTTTCCAAACTTTCCATTATTCCATATCCGGTCTAGTTTGGGGTTTGGATTTGGAGTTTTGGAGTCTGTACTCGGACATCGGTGGCTCGTTAATCGATGACTAGTCTATTCTCGGCAGTTAAGTTCTCAATCGCCACTCACTACTCGCAGAATATAGATTAATATAAATATAAAATATAGGTATAAAACATTTATGAACCTTTTCTTTTTCTTTTGCTAAATCTCACCGTTTTATGGTCTTAGGTGGAGCAAAAGTATCGTGTTGGTCCTCAATTAATATCAAGGGCCAGGGTAATACTTTAGATTCGGCCTGACAACGGCAGGAAGGCAGGATTCCAAATTTGGGCCCCAACCTGTGTGGCCGTGTAATAGATAATAGGAACATTGTTTTTTGCCCACAAAATATAATTCTATGATAAAAGACAAGTTACTTAAACTAATTACTAAGATTAACTATATAATAAAGTGTATTCACCACTATATAATGAAAGATAAGATTTCATTAAAAAACTAAACCTTAATCAACAATATAATTCAAAGCACTGCATTATACGTGATTTGCCTAATAAATAACCCCGGAAAAAATAACCCCGTGAAAAAATAACCCTATAATCTTTATGCAGTGCTAGACAGAGGAAAAAAATCTTTATAGGTATTTAATATAATATAATATTAATATAATCAGCGCATCCGAGTTGGGTCCCGAGTACTAGGGGCTAATCCCTTCCCGGATGGGCATGTACCGTTTCCGCCAAAATTTGAAATGACCGATTCCGCCATCGCCCGTTTCCGCCAATTTAAAAAAAGGTTCGATTCCCGTTTCTGCCAATTTAMCTGCTATGGTAAATTATTGTAATATATTCCATATTTTTGGTAAAAATATGTTTTAATTAATTTAAGTTGACTGAAACTATGTTCATATGATACAATACAAGGCAATGTTAGATACAAACAAACGATCCCCGATAAAATTATTATAATATATTCCGTATTCATTGGAGTATTATTCCTATTATTTTAAGGTGTATTTAAGTTTTAACTAGAAATGATTGTAGGTACRTGGTTTATAATATGATAATTGATAACAATAAATATTGAAAAATATATAAATAACTAATAAATCAAATAATAAATACATAATATTTTGTCATAGTTTTGATAAATATAAT